CAGTCTGATGTGTTCAGGACCATAAAAGTTTTCTGGTTTGATTCAATCTGAACAGGAACACAACTGCTGTGTGTCAGTTTGCTGTCCGGAGCGTACAGGTGTGTGTTAACACAATGTCAAGGTGGACTCTACAGGCCTCTGTTATCAGGTCAAAGGTCAAAGGTCATGGCAGGACTGTTGGAACTAGAGAAAATGTGTTTTATGTCCTAATGTGTGCCTGTGTGAGGACAGAACGTTTCTTAAATTGCAAAACAAGTAAAACAGTAGCTAAAAACTAATTAGCTAAACTTTAGCTAATTGCTATAACTAGCAAAAACCCAGCAAAGATGTACCTAAAAGCATAATTAGCTAAATAATTAGCTAAACTTTAGCAATAATCTACAATTAGCAAATGATAGCTGAATGCTAAAATTGTTAAAACTTTAGCTAAATACTAAACTGTAGCTAAAGGCCTAAAGAAAAATGTCTTTTGGACTCATGAGACCAAAATGCTGGTCTTTACCCACAATGCTCAGCAGCAAACATGTGGGGGAGGGTTGATGGTTTGGGCTGTGGTAGTCCAACCTCAGCTGAAGGATGATAGACAGACTAACGAGTAACAGGAAGTCAGTCTGAAGTGTGAATGAGAACTTCCTGTTGGCTAAATGCTGATGAAGATGAGGGAGTTTATGAGCTGAAGGCCGTCAGAGTTTAAAAACATTTGAGCTTGGATCAGCTGGGACCAAAAACAGGGACCTACAAAAAAACTGAAACAGGTTTCTGTTTGTTTAATGGTGGTTTGTGTTCAGACCTTCAGTTAGACAGACGGTCGAGTTCAGCTCAGAAAGTCTTGATGTCGGTAAAATAAATCTGTCGGTTTGCAGCAAAACCTGCATCTCTGAACAGAACCCACTTCCACGTGAACTTTGTTGACTCTAAACTGGACGATTTCTGCAGATGTTGGTGATGAAAATCCTGAAACTCCTTGTGTTGCTGCAGCTTGACTCCTTTCTGTTTCAGATCTTGTGGTTTTTCTCGTCTTCGGTGGTTCTGTCTGACGCTCAGTGCCACATCCTTCCTCTTTCTGCAGCAGCTTTCATAAAGTCTGTCCGGCTTCGTGCAGGTCCACTTGCTGTCTGTGCTGCATGCCGGCTTTACAACTCCAGAAGCTGTAGATTTTCTGCTGCTGTAATATGTTCAGTGGTAAAAGCTGCTGTGGAACTACTGGCCTGAGTACAAGCGGAAACACTAATTAAACCAAATGGGACCAAGACCAGAGCCTTGTGGAACTCCATAAACAACGCCACGTTCACCTGAATTTAAATGCTCAGCAGAAAGTGAGATTGTTCTGCCTTAGAGACAAAAATAAAACATTTATTATAATTAACAATCTCTATGGAGCTCAGATATTTTAATATAATAGTAGAAATACTAAAACTAATACTAGTACTAATAGTTTTACTTCATAACTCAGTCCTCGTACAGCCCGCCTGGTTCTGGTTCTGAGTGGTCGGAGTGAAAATGTTGATTTCATGTTTAAGATCATTTTGAACCTTTGTTTCCTTTATCTTCTGTTCATCTTTTATTATTTGGTCCTGGTTCTGTTGGTCCGCTCCATCGTTTCTGTTCGGTCTTGTGTAAAGTTCTGATCCAGACTGTTTGTTTCAGAGGACAGTCTACATTAATCAGTGCTTTTACAGCGTTATAAATGGGCAGGAATGAGTTTAATTCCTAAATTCAATTTCATTTTCATGCTTTTATTGTGAAATCTCACCGATAAAGTCACTCGGAATCAGTTGTTTCAGATTAAAAAGGTTTTCTTGCTCTGACGGCTACAGTCGTGATCGGAGCTTTTCATTTAAAACCAATATTTCATCAATAATACTGCTCTTCCTTCTGAAAGACGTCTTGAAAGTGATTTTTAGACGAAACCGTCTTTCAGAAGAATCAATCTGTTTAATCTGAGCTGCTGTGAGACCTGAGCCGTCCTCTTCCTCCTGCAGGTAAACTGGCGTCCTACGACACCGACGGAGACGGAGACTTTGACGTGGACGATGCCAAAGTTCTGCTCGGCAAGTCCACTTTGATTTTCTGTTTGAAACTCATGACTGATGTGGTTTACAGTAGAAACTTGAACCAGCGAGTGAACTGCAGAAGTTTCAAATGTTTGAAATATGACTGACTCCTCAGATTAACCTCAAATAAAGATTTAAACTGTTTAAAAGTCATTTTCTGACCAGCTGTTTCACACACCGAACATCTGGGATGTCTATAAGTTGAAACTGCTTGTTTTTCAAAATAAAAGTCTAAATTTCTGAGGTTGAATAAATTTATCAGATTCAGCGTTTTGATAGATTTTAATCTGACCCATAATCCCATATCTCCAGATTAAATGTGACATTTTTATTTTAAGACGAAGGTAGAATTAAAAAACTTCTGTGAGTCATCGGGTCCGAAGGGGTTTTGTTGTTTGGATCAGCTGCTCAGCGCCGTCCTTCAGGCAGTTGGTTCCACTAAGATGGACCGCTGGGCTCATGTTTATCGCGGTAGCGTTAGCGTAGCATTAGCGCACACAGCTGGTGTGGTAGATGCTCTCAGATGATGTCCTAAATGAGAACATCGATACACGGCGCCTCGCACAAAACCTCCACTCGTGGCTCGTTGTCAGTTCCCATGAAGTCCTCAGAGCGGGATGCCGGTCAGAATGGGCTGTCAGGGACACGTGGAGATAAGGTTCGGAGGGGAGATGGGTTCAGACTGGGTCCAGCCGCTGATGACCTGCATGGAAAAGGTGACTGGTCTTCAGATGGGAGGAGACGCTTCTCAGGAACCCCAAGGGCAGATGGAAGAAACCACACTAGAAACCTACGTGTACTTCCACTAAAAGGTCAAGTTTTCTCTTCTCAGAGCACCACCAGAACCTGACTGAGGACTTTATTGAACCATTCAGGACCAAAGCTGGTGGACCTTTGTTCTAGGTTTCTTCTTATTTTTGGAAGTGATGAAGTTTTGCCCCGATGATCGATAGAGCATGATCCTCTGACGGACCCTACAGGACTCTGCAGCGACTTAAGTCCACCAAATATACAAAAAGTGATTTCTGGTACGAAACCACTAGTGGTTCTCTTTAGGAACCAAAATCAGTTCTTCTGCTGGTCTTCAGCAGCTCTGATGCTGGACTTGATAATTATAAATTATTTTAAGAGTTCCAGACATTAAAGGAGTCAAACTGTGCTGCGGGTCCAAACGGACCTTATAACATTTAGTTTATCAAGTCATGTTTTGACTAACTGTGCAACTTCTGTTTTTTTGTAACCCGTCATATTCATGTGGTTATGGAACAGATTTTGTGAGCAGGTTTGCGTTTAGAGACATTTGTGGACCCCAACAAAACCAAAGAATGATCCAAGTGCTGCAAAAACTGCTTTTAACGTAAACAACCTGTGTGTGAATAGGGTCTGTTCAATTTCTCCTTAATGTTTCTGCATTTGTGTTAAGTTCTGATACACAGGTGGAAGTGATAAAACCTGTTGTGTAACAATCGGCCCGAGTATGAGCAGAAACACAAATTAAACCGGACCGAGCTTGGAGCCTTGTGGAACTCCTGCAGAGTTAATTTGAGTAATAATTCTCAACAGAAGTGAGACGTTGTGCCTTAAGGACAAAAATAAATCCTGCTGACTGTTCTCTTTCATCGCTTCTTACTCAGGTGTTCTTCTTCTTCTTGTCCTGGAACAGGAAGTACTTCTGGTTCAGATAAAACAGACGTGATTATTTTATCATTCAGGATCAGATGATGAAAACAGGAAGTAGTTGTTGATGGCTGCCTGGTTCTGGTTCTGGTTCTGACGAGTTGGAGACAGAGAGAAAATGTTGATTTCATGTTTAAGATCATCTTTAACTCTTTATCTTTCTTCTTTTTTCGTTCCATCTTTTTATTTTGTCCCGGTTCTGTTGCGGTCCGCTCCATCCTCCCATTGTTTTTTATCCTTATTTCTGATTCTTCATCATGTCCTCCCTCCATCTCCTCCTCCTCTCTCCCCCTCGTCAGGCCTGACCAAAGATGGCGGCGGTAAAGCGAAGGCCGAGTCGCTCGAAGAGGTTCTGAATATTTTAGCGGAGGAAGGTTCTGATTGGATCTATGGCTTCTTCACCTTCCTGTATGACGTAGTGTCTCCTCCTGTAGAGCGAGGTGAGGAGGAGGAGGAGGAGGAAGAGGACAGGACCTCCTCCTCCCAGGATGTGGAGGTTAAAGGGGTCATACTGGACCTCCAGAACCAGTAGGACAGGTAGTCCTATCAGTCAGAACCAGACTGAAGCTGGAGTTCTGAGGATCTGGTGCCAGCAGGACCCAACTGGTCCAAAGTGGTTCTGTTCAGGAGCTGGAAACTGTCGAGTCATTGATTTAACATTTGATTTTGGAGCGGGTTCTGAGGTCCGATTGGATCAAACCCGTCTCGACAGATGTTTATAAAAACTTCTCCCGTAATAAATAAAGTTTAGATTTGAACTGACTGAAGTTTGAGTGAATCAGCTGTGATTTACTGTAAATTATGAGAAGGAACGGTTGTAAACATCGCGGGATCGTAACGTTACAATGAGACGTGAAGAGTTTCATCACTTCAGCAAAGCTTCATCGGCTGCTGTTTTATTCAAATGTTGTTTAATAATACATTTATTATTAATGTCAGGAGCTTTATCAAATATTCTGTTTGTTTGTTTCTCATAAATAAGTTGTTTATCAATGTTTAGACGACACAGTTCAACATTTATGTTATTTGTAACAAAGTCGTTGGTTCATCAGTCACAGCTGGAATAAAATGATGTTTCTGCTGCTAAACTTCTAATAACTTCATCAGAGTCATCTTAATAAACTTTAAATCAAAGTTATAATTCAAGTACGTGACATTAAACTTTAACGAAATCTTGACTGGAAGCTGAAACTCAAACATTCTGTTTTTAACGAGGCGACCAATCAAATGGTCCGTTTGTGTTAAATGTTTTGGTTCATTAGTTCAATAAACAACAACAAACAAATAAAATGTACCTGTTTATTTTAATCAAAATAAAATAAAATCTGAATGAACCGTGAGTTTATGGCTGACTCGTTAATCCAGTAAAGAGTGACGTTTCGTCTGAATGTTAACGTTTTCACGTTAATCATTTTAACTTGAAATATTACGAGTCATGTTTCCTTCACCTGCTTGAACTTTGATTCGTTTTTAATTAAAGTTGTTGGATTAACTTGAAGCATCAGCTGTTTGCAGTGGGGGGGGGAGGGGGGGTCTTAATTTGTGTTTGTGTCTCGGCTGAGAGCAGGTTAGAAAGGTAAGTGTCCTGCCTCGTTGTGATTGGCTGCTGGCTCACCTGAGCTGCCAGGTGTGTCTGACCTTCACAGAGACGTAAAGGTGTGTTGGACTGAACTCTTCAGGCCTGATGTTTACTTGTTTACAACATTCTGAGCCGCTGCGTCAAACGTAAATAAAAACTGAACACACTCATGAGCTTTGTTTTATTCACACACGGTCAACGGTTTAAACGCTGAAGCCGTTTTAAAGAAAAATCTTGGGTCGTTTTGAAGTTACGGCAACAACACGTGTCGTTCATCGTATACAGTATTTTACACAACAGCCTGGCTTTGTCAGAACCGGGTCTGGATCTGATCTCAGGTTGTTTCTGCTCTCTGCATCAGGAGGAACTGCAGACAGAACGAACGCCACCTCAGGTACAGAAGCCTGCGTTCACCTGTCGGCACGGGTTGCTTCCTGTTTTACTGATGTGCAGACGGCCGCATGGATTAAACACCTTTTCAAATATTTAACTCCACTAACGACTCTAAACGCTTCGAGGCTTCAGAAACGCTGCAGGTTGTGCTGCGCTGAAGCGTCCAGGGTCCATGTGAGACTCTGCAAGCCTCAGGTAGCAGGTCAAAGGTCAGGGTAGGACACCCTGACCTTTGACCTCTGCCTTTTTATCCTCCTCTCAGGCAGACACAAACGACTGATTAAACTTTACAGCAGCTATGAAGCACGGCGGTGTGGGGCTGTTGGTTTGGGCATGTTCTGACTGTGCATGTTTGGTGCCGTGCACCGCCCCTCTTTAAAAACATTAAGTGAAATTAGTCAGCTTCTCTGCCTCAAGTCTAGTCCATAACTCGTTTGTTTTGTAAAAGTGCTGCATGTTTTGAATATTTGTCCCTAAATGGTGGGTTACTGTATCCTGCAACATGAAGTCTTCAGATTGTTCTTATTTCCAGGCTTTAAGTAAACTGTAAGTATGTTTGAGTCTCCTGAAGACCTCATGTACTAACGTCTCTTGCACTCCGTCGGTTGCTGTGTTGTGGTGTCCACCAGGTGGGTTTATTTTTGGAAGATAACTTGTTATCTCACATGTTTGACCTCAGCCCGGCCGGTCCGAGGCGCCCGGCTGCGCTCGGCTCTGAGGGACGAGCTGAGGCTAATCCACGAGAAGATGGAAGCCAAGAGAATCGCTCGCATCGCGCTGGCTGAGATCAGGCTGCTTCTGATCGAAGAGGAGGAGGAGAGGGAGGAAGCCTGGGCGCTGAAGATGAAGGACCTGGAGACGGCACGGGAGCAGCTGAGAATGGAAATGGAGAAGGCTGAAAGAGAAAGACTGGCTCAAGAAAGTGCAAAGATAGAGAGACTCGAGAAAGAAAAGGCTGCTAGAGAAGAGAGAGAACGAGTGGAAGGACAAAGACTTGAGGAGGGAAGATCAGAACTGGAACGACAGAAGAAGGAAGTGAAGGAGAGAGAACGACTGGAACGTGAGAGGGAAGAACTGATGGCTCAACAAAAAGCAGAAAAAGAACAACTTGAAAAAGAGCGCATCACTAAAGAAAAGGAAAGAATGATGAAAGAGAAGGAGCAACAAGAGAAAGAGAGGCTGGAGAGGGAAAGGTTCACCACAGAAAGACTTGAGAAAGAGAAAGCTGCAAAAGAAAGACATGAAAAGGAAAAGATTGCTAAAGAAAAAGAGAGACTTATGAAAGAGAAGGAACAACTAGAAAAAGAAAGACATGAAAGGGAAAGAGCTGAGAAGCTGAGGCAGGAAAAAGAACAACTGGTCAAAGAAAGAGAAAAACTAGAACAGGAACGTCTAGAGAGAGAAAGGATGGAGAGGGAACAAACGGCTAAAGAAAAAGAAAGAGTCGCTCAAGAGAAGTTAGAAAACAAGAGGGACGACAATGAACGTATTGCCAGAGAAAGAGCTAGAATCCTCCAGGAGATGGAGAAAAAAAAGGCAGAAAAACTACGACTGGACAGGGACACAGCGGAGAGAATGGAGCAAGAACAGGTGATGGAGAGAGAGAGGAGAGATCGGGAGAGACTGGAGAAGTTGGAGAAGGAAAAGAAGGACAAAGAGATGGAAATGACAGAGCAACGAATGGCCAAAGACAAGCTGGAGGTTGAGAGGCCTGCCAAGGACAAGTTGGAGGCGAAAAGGCCTGCCAAGGACAAGATGGAGCCGGAGAGGCCTGTCAAGGCCAAGATGGAGCTGGAGGGGCCTGCCAAGGCCAAGATGGAGCCGGAGGGGCCTGCCAAGGCCAAGATGGAGCTGGAGGGGCCTGCCAAGGACAAGATGGAGGCAGAGGGGCCTGCCAAGGCCAAAATGGAGGCGGAGGGGCCTGCCAAGGCCAAGATGGAGGCAGAGAGGCCAGTCAAGGCCAAAATGGAGGCGGAGAGGCCT